ATTTTCCCTCTATTTCCATTGCATAAATTCTTCACAAAGAAAACAACAACTTTATAGCATATGTTCAGCTTTATCATCTTCATACGCTAGCATTTGAAATAAGATGCACATATTAATTTCAAATACATCTTTAAAGAGTACTGCAAATGTACCAGCTAGAACACATACTATGTTATTACAATTGTCATTATTGTTGGTTTCAGAACTGATAGCATTGTGCAACAAATGTTGACAACAAGACTTATTGAAAGATGAGGTTGCTTGTGTATATGCAAACAGGTATACGTAGTGCATGATTTAATGTTGAGAATGATGGAGCAAAGTTTATAAAATTTGGTTTGAATACTTAGTTAGGAATGCACTGACAATTTCTCTGTCACATGTACATGAACAGGTTGTGAAGCTGTAGCCTTCACCTTGACTGAATGAACTTGACCTTAAAACTGTCTTGAACAATTGATGTATGAAATTTAGAAATGAAGTTTCAAGAAATATGGTTGAAAACTTAAGAAATAATTGCTTTCATTGACATTGATACAATCTTGTGTGCTATCCCTCTCATATATCACACAAGATTTAATATCAAATGTTGGACACAGTAAAATCGAGCGAAGTTAACAAATATCAAGTTACATATTATAACTTTTATTTTATTTTATTGATATTGATCATAAGCATTGTTAAAAGTACAATGTATACCAGGGATCTTACATTTCTTTTACTACTTAACATTTGCGTTGACTTTTAATTCATTGGACAAAAACTAAAAGGAAGCCATGACCAGTATTTCTATCTTTAAAAACATACTTTTAATTTTTTTTCCAATTTGCTCCCACCACCCATAGTGTTATATTGATCAAAACAAACGTTGTTTCCAACATTTGTGCCCTTAGTCAGTAGTGGGTGTTCAATCACATTCATCAGGGTTTCAGCATCAAGTAGGGGCTGTTCAATCACATTCATCAGGCTTTCAGCATCAATATTCACAGATTCAATCTGTTCCAAGTAAAGATCACTGACTTCTCCATTAAGGAAAAGTTTGCGAGGAAAGCATTTGAACTACATTTGAACTATTCGCTGATGGAAGGATCTGTGGACTCGGCTTTCATGTGTCTGAGAGAAAATGATTTAGTCAGAGGTTCCTCCTCTATAAAGTAACTGACAGATTTCAAAATGTCATGTCACTGTTGGTATAGTTCTTGCAGCCTTTTGAAAAAGTTCATGAAGTCCTCAAAGGTATGAGAGAGTTGGTACAGTTCCTATTTCTCATCCTCCTTTCTCCCATCAATAACCATCCCTGTCTGTTGTAATATTGATTGCTTTCCCCCCCTAAAATAGAACATAGTTACCATATAATTTCTGCACCAGCAATAATGTTTAGAGATGATATTCAAACAAATAGGAGGCATAGCAATATGAGCTTGTATAGTGAGAAATAAGGCATTAAAGCTGAGGAGTTCATTAAAATGTTTCAAAAACATTTCAATAAGTCAATCTCTTTGGTAGCAGAACTAAATATAAACAAAATGTACATTAAATTCAACTTATAACAGCACATCATATGGGGGCTTAAGACATCTAATTCCTTAGGTGGTAAAACATGTGTACATAAAAAGGTACCAGTAAAAACAAAACAAAATTAGTTTAAACACACGCACTTAGATATTCACGGTTTTCATTAATACAAAAGATGAAGCAGAACATCACTCTCCCCTGGTTGTTTCCATAAAGAAGAAATTAACCAGGAAACATGGAGATGTCCATTGCACTCCTTTATTTTGCTTACAATGTGCAAATGTGCCTACTATGTGCTAATAAGCTTTCCATGTTATGGTTTTGTTTTTTATGTGCTGTATGCAAATGTTCTAAATGTGCTTAAATTACCATGTGCTGATGTGCTTACCGTGTTCAATGTGCCTATTAAGTGCTTTCCAAGTGATAAACTCTTTTTCTGAGCTTACAGTATACTACATGTACATACATGTTTTTATTTTATTTTTCCATGTTGTAATATTTTGGTCTCTGTTATTATACTCATGTTTTGTCTTTGTAGCTTATGTTGTATGTTTTGCAAAATGGACGTAAAATATATATTTTTGTATCTTGTACGTGCTCAAGGATTTTATCTGTAGTTTTTGGGACTATATATAGAAAAACTTTACCCCAGTATGAGGAATTGTTTTACACATTTATCATAAAACAAGTTATGTTCAGATTTCAGACAGAAGATACTCTAAAATTGTACAACTCAGAAAAGGTTGAAAAATATTTATAGTTCATTTTTTTCTGCTTAGAAATATTTAATCTCTAAATTACAAATGATAACTGTTTTAACAGGTCTAGTTTCCGAATTGGAAACCAAACCCTGTCTGACCTATAAATGATCATTATATAAGGCCAATTAAAAGTTTAAAACAAATATTGAGTTTATGCTAACCCCACAGATACTGGACACACTAATAGTAATATGATGTGTATAAACTATGATATATTATACACACTATACTTATTGGTGTGTTCGACACCAGTGTGGTTAACCAGACTTATCTCAGATTTGTGTTCTACAATACCCTTAAGTTTTTATATGCACTGTTAAAGTCAGAACTCCTGCTCTATATTAGCGCAGTAAAGATATTTTTCAAATTAACAATAAAATGCCTAGCTAATACATACCTACCCTATTTTTTTCTGATAGTAGAAACACAAGTAATTTGTTTGGCCTAATGTTTCTGTCATTTCATAATATTTAGAACTACTATACTTGTTTAAGTTTCCAAAACATCAAGTAGTATAACAATTGAAACTTCAATGAAAGCCAACATCACAATGAATCTAATAATACAATGTTTATAACATGTTTTTTTTTAACTGAATGAGAAGAAATGTAAGGCCAAATATCCTCACAAACAACGCTTAAGTGAAATCAGTTTGCAACTAAGCAGTTCGAAAATTTTGCAACACGTCTGGAGAAAGACGTTCCTCGTGACGCTGTAATTCACTAGAGTAAAACGTCCGTTTATTATGTTTGTTTTTGCATAATAACTGCTATACATACCGTAGAAGCACCTTCCTTTTTGTCATCGCCGCTGACAACATGCGCCATTCTCTGCGGCTTCGGCCGCATGCTTGGCCACAAGTCACCGAAATCGGGATACATAGCCTTATTTATGAATCAGTAGTAGGTAAACGTTGCAGAAGTGTATGTATATTGTTCATTGTCAATGCTGCTTAAACAACATGCCTAACATTAAGTCAACACTCGCCTGCATTTTCGTCTTTTCCGCTTCGCGTTGCGAATGATGTCTAGGCCTACACAAAACGAAAGTAAAATGTGCGCATGTCTAAATGTAAGGGAGATCACTCGTGTTTTCCCGCAGTATATGTCTGAAATCATTCCGAAGGTGTTGTTGTTTTTGTGTATATTGAAATAAAAGAGTCCTGTTATATGGTAATACTTCAATAAACGAAAAACACAAATCACACCAACAGACATATAAAATGTAGGCCTATCGGAGCATATTTTCGTTTCTGGCTGAGCTGTAATTAGCGAGAAGGCGATATAAAAATGCAATAGCATATCTTATGATGAAAATAGAACAAAATGATAATACTGCGAAGGTAAAAAAAGCCTTCAGGTTAGAATACCAATATGGAACTAGAGAAGGACAGTGGCTAGTTCTAACATGATTCCCGGTCTCATCTGCCCCGGCCGGTTGATCCCATTTTAGTTAGGCAAGCCTGGTGTGAATCACACGGAGGCGATTTTAGAATTAATTGACAGGATCCGTATCCATTAATAGGTTTGTAATATGAACTTTTTATGTTGATCTCCTACATAATTGTAAGTTATACTCCGCCTTATATTTCGTTAAATTATCAAGTTTACGTAACAAGTGCAAGCGAAATCCTAATTGACTGCCATGTTGGAAACTTCCTCAATCTTTCCGATATAGGTCAGACGTCTAAATATGGGTGTCATGACCAAATATGGAAATTGTAGTAAACATGACCGCATCAGTAGTAATACTATATTTGGCCGTGAAGGCCATATAAGGAAACGGATAACATCACGCGTGATCTAACATGGCCGTCGTTTCTTTTTTTAGAGTTTTTAGTAAGGATTTGTTATTTTAACGATGAACGAATATGCAATATTTTGATAACATTATAATCATATGAAGCGTGAATCAGATATATTATTACTGATTAGCACTTTTGATTATCCTCAGTTAGTTGGAACAGGACCGCTTCATAGCTCTGACCACGCAATATATAATTGTAAACAGGGACGTAAATGTCACCAATTTTAGCCAATCACAGGACAATATTTCCGTGTAAAGGGTTAATCCAGCGACAGTTCCAAGAGTAAATACGAAGTTTTAGAAGGATACTTAGTTCTAACTAAGAATAAGATTATATCCAATGACGTTTGAGTGAACTTGAGTCCGTGGTAATGGATTTTATTTGCAGTTTGTTTAGTATTACTAGAAGGTGACGTTATGTCTCGTTTATGAATATCTGAGCTCATTAACTGAAGTATTTTTACCGGAAGTTGCGTGTAGCATGCATGACCTACAGTCAAGTAGCAGTTCCCGATTGAGATAAACAGGGTGCATTTTCAATAAGAATACGACGTTGTGATAAGATCATATGTTCTACAAAGGAAAGGAATGATATTTACAAGCCATTCAAGTGCATTTGAGTCCAAAGTTACGCATAATAAAGACAGTAGGTCCGGTATATGATTCAATTTAGTACCAGTGGGTACCGCTAGAGGCGTCTGTGTAAAAACGACATTTATGAATATCTTGAGCTCATTAACGAAAGTAATACCAATAGCTGGCGGCTAACGCCTTAGCTAAAAACGAATTCTATTTCCCTAGAGATGTAATACTGCATTTGATTGGTAAATTTATCAAAATAATTTGCAATGGTATAACCATGATATACTGAATTACTATTAATTTCTTTAGTTGCAGTCCCAACACAGGTTTTCAGTAGCGCATATTTAACAACATTTTTGAATTTCCATGGGGGAGATTACGTGTGCTAGGAATGAAAAGCATAAATAAAATGTGTGGATGCACACTCTAGGGGAAAAACACACTTTTAAATGGCATATTTGTAGTTGTTCTATCAAAATTAATCGTCAAATCTTTGAAAATAGGAATAGTTTAGCAAATTCACTGGTTGAAAATGCACAATTTTAGGGTCCAACATAGGTAGTCTCCCTCCTAAATAGGGAGAGTTGGCAAGTATGGTAGCGAATAAAGCTGATCTGCTACGTACCCCCTTAAAATATGAGTAAAGGAAGTAGGTCACGCCTCCTGCTGCTCCTGCCACTACCACGCCTGTTTTAGGAACTTTTCTTGCCAGCAGGCGTAGTTTCTCCATTCCGTCAGCAGACTTTAATTAATTAGTATCATCACCTGAAAGGCAGAAAATTCATTAAAACAATTAAAAAAAAGCAAATATATCATCTATCTCAAATTAAAAGACTTTAAAGTCCTTTGCATATTGATGTTGTTTAATTACCTACACATACATTTTATACACGTATGTATATAATGTTCATCAAAGCAGTCACAACTAGACTTATATCAGGTTCTTTTACTATGGTGGTTTTCAAATTCATACATGCCAGATCTTACGGTGTGAGGCAAAATCTCATGGATTTTCACCACCGATAAAGTCTCACGGCGTGGGACATGAATTTACGGAATGTCCTCAAAACCTCACGTTTTTTTAACGATCGATCGGTGAACCATTTTCCTGTTTGTTACTCGAAGTCTTACGAGATTTCACAATGTTTTCAGTGATAAATCACGAGTACATGTAGCGGTCATGTGATCGAAATTCTAATTCTCCTAAATGGAAAAATTGCCCATTGGAAATTTCAAATGTTTATTTTAGATAGTGTTGCATGGCACATAAATTATGAAAGTTTTGTTTTCGTAATTACCTTTATTAAACTGTCCGTGAAAACATTACAAACATTCAATAAAGCTTATTTACACCATTAAATTGACATAAAAATGTATCATCAAGTGAAAATTGTGTTCATAAAATACAAGCTAGTACTTAACACAACAGTTTCTTCGGCCACTGCGCTATTTTTCCTATTTCGGTTCTGTACAGTCTAGGTTTGGGTAATTATACCATTAACGTATATATAGATTGTAACAAAACAGGAAGATTGCCTGTAAGCTTACAGTAGAGGGCACAGGCGTGCTTGATCAGCTGATTGGCCCAGTTTTCGAATTGTCTAATTATGGCATAAAGAACGTTCCAGCTTAGATGGGAACTGTTTCTGCTCTTGAAATACAAATGTTGAGATCAACTGGTACTTTCATAACAATTTATTACTATATGTTAATTATTTTTACGAGTGTGAGTGAAATATTGTACTAGTGCATCGATCGGGTCTCGCACGCTACATATACATGTAGCTGCATTTAACAAAGCATGTTTAGTGAAATTTGACGCTAATAAATTATACTTGCTAACACGGCCATGTTTGGATTACTTTGCGTCGGCTACATATCTGAAGTCATCTTAGAGGGGTGCTATGTACCAATTCATATTATTTATAGTTTGTTTATAAATTTATAATACTTGCTAAAAGTGTTTTAGGTAATGGTGCACCATTTATTAGCCAAAATGTTTTGTCATTTTATCGGGATTACTTTTCGTGCACGTACTGCACGGTCACAGCTAGCGTAAATAGGATAGCTAGTGGCACTAGCCAATCAGAACGCCGCTAGGCCACTGTTGCAGCCGAAGGGTATGGCTCAGCATCTCTGTTTCACCAGTACCGGGTAGGTATCCTTACGCCATTTCGCAAGATAGTAGTATTTTTGTCAGACTCTGCCAGTACTCATAGTAATATTCTTTTAGTATAATAGAGAACACTCATCTTACCTTAGGAGTTTAACTCTTAGTACTTTCAGTGGTGACCAATAGTTATATTCTCTTAGCATAATAGAGATCACTCATCTTACTTTCAGAGTTTGGCTCTTAGTATTTTGAGTGGTGTCTCATAGTTTATATATATTCTCTTAGTATAATAGAGAGCACTCATCTTAATAATCACTTAAAGAGTCATGTACTATGAGTGGTATCCCATGGTAGTTGATACCTTACTTAAAGGGCTGATCTCTGGGTAATTATTATTTCTTTTAGTGAGTTGCCTTTTAATCTAGGTAGTCTAGGAAACTTACCATTCGTTTAGGTTGCAATAACCTTAATCATTGACAAGTTGATTCCTTAGTTCTAGTCAACTTTCTTGTTGACATTTTTTTCACCATTCAAAATTTGCTTTTATACTGTATAATCAACTCCTAGTAGCTGAAGTTAGTTTCATGAGAATAAGTTAGTGTTGATTAGTGTATTGTTCAAGAATTGCGGAGAGTTGTCTCCCTTCTATCAATCATAAACAGAAATAGGGACTGTTTTTGTAACCTTTAATTTTATTAATCACTTGTCATGTACGTAAATACTGAGGACATTCCGTATTGCCATTTATACTATGATTGTCTCATTGTTGAAAATAGCTGAATTAGGGTGAACCTGGAGTGAAAGATATTGATTATTGTGATTCATTTGTACATATTCATCACATGCTGTGACTTTTAAATGGAATTATTAAGATAGTGATTATTGATTCATTTGTACATATTCATCACATAATGTGACTCTTAAATGGAATAATATATTCATAGAACTTGATTTCTGTCTTGAGTTTTCTATAAGTCTGAGTCACTACTGGCAAGTTAAGGCTGCAGCTGTAAGAGCACTTACCTGAAGCAAAGACTTACAACAATAATACCTGTACGACTATACAAAAATAATTGACGGAGAACCACAGTCCGGGTGGAGGTTTAGTCACGCTACCAAATCGACAGGAAAAACCACACCCGGGGACAGGTTTTGTCACAATGTAATTATTAGGTGACGGAACATTCTTCCGAGTTATTAGAACATTTGGAATCATATTACTGGAGTCAAATTTTGATAAATTCAATATCAAAACACTTCTCTTTCCAGAAATATGTTTTAAAATTATTTGTTACATATTCATTTTCCACAAGATAATTACTGCCCAGCATTGTAGATAATATCAATCCTGTCAATAAAACTAAATGTTGGAAGATTTACAAGTGCTCAGAACTAGTGTATTTTTGTACACAGTGGTTTTACTACCTACATTTTGCAACAGGCTGTTCTTATGTAAATTGAATGTTGGAAGATATTCCTCATTTTTTATTTTTATTTTGTGAAATGCTTTCCTTTCTAAGGGAAGCTGAATTGTAACCATTATTTAAAAATCAGCAAAATACATGTTACTAAATCAACATATTTGAATGTTTTACTTTCCAAAAGGACTTTCTTTTCTAACTGCAGTTACTACATTGTGCATATGCTTAACAGTTAATGCGGTTTTATTCAAGACTTTCATTCAAGATTGTCTCTTTAGAATCTCATAAATAAGGCCAGGATTTCTCTTTTCTAACCCCTATACAATTGGTTGTAGGCACCCTATACATAGCTAGATTAATAAGTTCTCAACCACTGTTAAGTGTATCTAAAAACCTGGAGCTACAGAATCTTGAAAATATATCAGAATAACCTTCAAAATATAAAACTTAGTAGAAACACTAATTTGTATCCCTGGTAAACACAAGGGACAAAACCTTCAAATGAGGGATTGTGCTAACCACATCCGTCCCAAACACGGAAAATACGAGTCCGCCGATTTATAAAAATATACGTTAGCCGATACACCAAATAGGGCTAGGCCTAGTGTTTATCATTCAAAATCACTCAATCATCACAAGGCTTTACTAGGCCTGTAGTCACTCTAGTGTGGACATGTACTCGGGGAGTGATCACGACCGTCAACACGGCCTGGTGAACTCGCTGTCAGTCTCCAGTCACTGTAACAAGTGGCATCACAGCATTCAAACAGGTGACTTAGTAGATCTGAATAAAAAAAATATGACGTCTACGTGTTCATCGATGTAAATTTCAACATTACCTTTCACTTGAGACTAGGAAAATAGAAAATGCACAGGGTCATCTATCCATCGTCTGAAACTTCCCTCAGAACCGCAGCGTTTTCGGTGACCTTGATCTTGCAAACTAACTGCTGGTGCGGAGAGCGTACTAAAATTCCGGATTTGTTGTAAAGATCGGTAAATGATCGGATATAAGTCACGTGTTCATTTTAATTATGTTTGCGAAAAATACCACGAAATTCCCGTTAGAAAATAATTAGTATACATTCTGAATCTATTTGGTCAAAAATCGATCTATAACACAATTTTACCACCAGGGACAGTATAATCTAATTCCGTGGTTAGCCTTGCTCAAGTCCAGTATTTTTTATTGGCGTGTGTTACGCTATTATACATTAATACATTCATATCACGTACAACAAAGAAACGAAACACATCCTGACTTCGCGAGTTAAACTATCAGTATAACTGTACTGACACTACGTAGGCGACGTGAACTAGATGTTACACATGAGATCCAAACGTGAAGGAGTCTGATAGATTCATCAGGATGGAATCGAGATAAAATGGAACGAAAGCAGCAATGGCATTTCTAGGAAATTATGTCGACAGCGAAGGACAGTCTCTAATTACTGCTAAAATGCCAACTCATTCAAAAATGGACTAGTCAGACCATAGACAAAAGTACAAGTTCATTGGGGAGGCGTTAAGACTCGGAACAGAGATAAAACGTACCAATTAAACCTATTCCGTCTTTGCGTATTGCAGAGTTATCTTCTCTTGGGAGCAGGTATTGATTGTTACGTCACTTATTTGTGAGAGGAACGTCATCAATTTTTGAGAAAACGACGCAATTTTCTCGCACAAACCAATGACGTAACAATCAATCCCTGCTCCCAAGAGACGATAACTCTGCAATACGCAAAGACGGAATATAATGACGAATGCCATTTGTAAATAAACTATTTATTTCATAGCAATTATGAAACAATTTTGTTTTTAGAAGTCACTCCTATTGATTCTGATGGAAGCGCTCAGGGGTCATACTATTGGAGGAAACAGGATACTATGAGAAAACCTACCTAAATGTTCCGTATATAATGGTATTATAAGTTACAATACATATTTTTTTTCTGTATTCTAAGGCATAATTATAGTTTATGCATGTTTATTGTTACATTGTAACAGGAGTCGTAAGTTCAGTTATATCTTTGAATAATTGTATACTGATTGTTGATATAATTCTAATTAATATATAAGTAGTTATCCTAAGTCTATCGTAACTGTTAATATCATTCTTATTAATTTGAAAGTAGCTGGAAAGTCAATAGTAATTGTTAATATCATTTGTATATATATGCGCTACCTTGTTGATGAGACAAGAAGACTAGTTCGATCCTTTGATATACATCAAACGCATCTCGCGGTCACGTAACGGTAAAAATGTACATGCTTTGAAGTCGCGTGTCTCTACTTTGTAATCTCCAAACGGCCGAAGGCCGAGAAAAACATCAAGTTTTCAAGTTTTATTTTTACACTCACGTCACACGTATACGTGCGTAACAAGAGGTCACATAATACATAGTATACATTGATGGACATAGTACTCACATAATATAATATGACACATGATACAATTCATACAATAACAACCCATTTCAATAATTCTTTTAGCTAAATTATTTTAGATATTAAGTAGCTTCATTACTCTTTGTATAAATTTACTTACTTTTGTTAAGAGTACCGTGTTACAAATTGAGAACATTCCTTTCATTTTGATATAAGTTGGGTTGACATAATAATAATTTGGTATATAAAGTTGTCTAAGAGCTACAACAGATACATTAGTACATTGGTATAAGTAGTGGTATTCGTCCCCAACACAGTTATTACATAGGGGACATAACCTTTCCTCGCGTGGGACTCGATTCCATCTTCCTGTTTCTATAGGAAATTTTATATTTGATGTTCTAAATTTACATATTACTTTTCGTTCATTACGATTTAGCTTTAAAAGATATGGTTCAATATTAAACTGAAATTTGAATAAGGAGTAAACTTGCCCTCGCGAGGAGGTTTCAACATCATGAAACCAACTTTGAATGAATTGATCGCATAATCTCTGCTTAATGATATTTTTCAAGCATTGTCTATTAATTGTACATGATATTTGGAAAGTCCATAAATTATTAAATCCAGTATTGTTTAAGATATCTCGTATATACGTTAACCATTTAAAACTTAATAAAGAATTCTGGTGCAAATTGTACATTAACTTATACATTACACTAGATAATTTCGATCCACCCGTTATAAGCTTATGCCAGAACATAACCATTCTAACACTGATTTCAATTTCTAGGGGATACCTTCCTAACTCACCATATACCATATAATTTGGGGTGCTCTTCCGAATGTTAAGAATTTCCTTACAAAACTGTAAGTGTATTTTTTCGATACTTTTTGTATTTTCATAGCCCCAGATTTCACATCCATATAATAAAATTGGTGACACAAGTGCATCAAATAATTTCAGTTGAAGATCTACAGGAATGGAAATATTTCTAATCTTAATATACAATGCATATAAAGCTTTTTTTGCTTGCTCTGTTAGTTTACTTTTGGCTTTTGTAAAAACACCATTGTAGTTTAATATTATTCCAAGATATGTGTACGAATCTTGTATTTCTAAAATCTCATTATTTAACGTAAAGTGATGGTCTCTTTTACTTTTTCTTTTTTCAAAAATCAAAACTTTAGTTTTTTGTGTATTAACTGTTAATTTCCATATATTACAATAATTTTGGAATTCATTCAATGCGTTCTGTAGGCCATCTGGTGTTTCTGATAAAAGCACTGTATCATCAGCATATAATATAATAAACAATTTTAAGTACAAACCTAAATTTTGATCACTAAGAGCATACACTTCATTCAAACAAGAAACATTACGTTGATTGAGGAAATCCTCTAAATCGTTAAGAAAGAGGGAAAACAAAAATGGCGATAAGTTTTCTCCTTGTTTTACCCCGACATTGCACATGAAAAAGTCGGATGTATCATTACCATTTATTACGCATGATTTGGTATTTTGATATAAATTATAAAGGACTTTAAATATTTTGCCCGTAATGTTACTATTTTGTAATTTTTTCCACAAGCCTGCTCGCCACACCGTATCAAAGGCCTTTTTAAAATCAACGAATGAACAATATAACTTCTTACCCTTTGAAAAATATAAAGAAATTAGGGAATGCAATATAAAAATGTTTTCATTAGTGGAATATCCCTTTCGAAATCCCGCTTGGGCGGAGGATATCAGGTTTATCTTATGAGATAATTTTGTTAGTCTACCATTAATTATAGAGGTAAATACTTCTCCCAAGCATGACACCAGAGTTATCGCCCTATAATTATCCGGATCGCCCTGGTTACCTTTATTTTTGTATATAGGTTTAATAATACCAACTGTCCATTCTTGGGGTATTAACCCAGTGTTGAGAATGATGTTGAAAAAATCTATATATAAAGGCAAAAACTGATTGAGAGTATTTTTTATATATTCATTCCGTATTTCATCGATTCCGCTCGCTTTATTATTTTTTAGGCTTTCTATCGATCGAATAATTTCCGTTTCGGTAATTTCAGCATTGAGATCTTCAGAGACTTCATCGTTATCGATATCTTGTAGAAGTCCTTCATTATTATCTTCCTCATAGCTAGCTGAATTTAAATTTTTAAAATAGTTATATAGTTCGTTTATTGGTATATTAGCTTTTGACGATTTGGGTTTACCCGAAAACCTATTTAGAATATTCCATAGGAATTTTGGACTCTCCTTTACTGAATCTCTTATTTTCTTTTCCATGTTGAATGCATAGGTTTTGTATGCTTTATTTACCTCTTTCCTGTAATTACGACTTTTCCTTTTCAAGGCGTGCTTGTTAACATCATTTTTTAATTTACGATAGTTCTGTTTGGCTTTGTGAAATTCTTTTCGAAGCTTTTTACAATTTGATGTAAACCATGGTTTGTTATTTTCATGAATATTTCCGCGGTAAACAGATTTGCGACCGAATGACTGGTTGGCGGACGTAGTAAATATATCTGTGATATTTTTAGTTACATCATTAATTTCTGCATTAGTTATTTGGTCGGTTTCCTTAGCTTTCAAATTTTTAACATACTCGTTCAGCGTAGCAAGTTTATTATCATGATCATCTGCAATAAGATTAGTAAACGAGTTACTTAATTGATCCTCCCATTTCACGTAACCACCATCAGTTGTTTTTTACCTGAGACCAATCAAACAGCTATCTTTGTGCCTTCAATTTTGCTATGACATGTTCCAGGGGTGTAGAGAGAGAAAGTGAGCGTAACCCCTGGATATCGAGGATGCTGATCACTCTTAATTGTGCAGATAACAATGGAACACATATACATTTACTTAATGTTCAAACAGGCAGCAGTGTCCGTACGGTACTCTCCTATTTTCAAACATATTTGAGTTACGAGAACTACATCTTCTGACCACGCCAGTGAAGCGGAAGAGATACTATCGGTAATACAGATGTGCCTGTGCATGGCATAAATTGTGATAAGGGATAACCTATCAAAATAACTGTAGGTTTACATGCGAATATTTTGAGAGTGATTTGGGAGAATGTTGTATCAAATTTTGAGAGCAGAAAAATCAAGCATTATTGTTTTGAAGTTAGTTGCGCGGACAATTTTCTGTGTGGAGGAGCGAACAAGTACTACTTCCATTACTATATATATTACTCGCCAAACTAAAATGCAGGACAAGTTTATATTCGCCTGTGACATTTATGTGTAATTTTGCTAGGATATCCCCTGTCACTCAGAGGTGTGATACAAGGAGGTCTACTATAGTTATCAGTAGTAATAGGAATAATTATATATGCAGTTATTTTTTATATTTACGTATCTACCTCTGGCAAAACGATAAAAGAAATTGAAGTGGGGCAAAAGTTGACCCCACCTTTTCAAATTGTGTAAACAAACGATATTTATCGAGTGCCTTTTACAATTTGAAAATTAACAAACAAGAGTTAAATAAACATGGTTATCAAATAACACGAGTTTGGGGACGCTTTTCTCTCGCATC